TTGGAGGTAACCCCCATTGGACTCAAAGTAGGACTATAGGTTGTCTTCTAGAATACTAACAAGCAAAAATTTTAAATGGTTTTTGCTTATTGACATTCTGTTTATCATTTACAATGAAATTAGCTTTATTGACGTCCACAAGAATTATCAGAACTTAGACTGCTTTTTTTTTATAAGATCATTTGTGTATGTGCAGGTGTGTGTGCTTGTCTTCCTCTCTTTCTTTGTCTTATTCTCTCTCACTGAACCTGGAGCTAGGCTGGCAGCCAGCAAGCCCTAGTCCTCCTATCTCTACCCCCATCAGCACTGGAGTTGCAGATGTGTGTGTCCCTACACCCAGCTTTCTATGTGGATGCTGCTATTGGAACTCAAGTTCTCATGCTTGCACACCCAGGCTTCTTAACCACTAAGCTTCTCTCTAACCCCTAGACTGATTTCTTTTTTAAAATATTTTATTTATTGTTTTATGTGTATGCATGTATTGCCTGCATGTAGGTAAGTGCACCTGTGTCGTGCAATGCCCGCAGAGTCAGATCCCCTGGAACTGGAGTTATAGACAGTTGTTAGCTGCCATGTGGGTGCTGGGATTCGAACCCGGGTCTTCTACAAAAACAACCAGTGTTCTTAACCACTAAGCCATTTCTCTAGCCCCTGGACTGCTTTCTTTATGGGACTAAAGATATCAGTGAGAGCAGGTAACTATTTTGAACCACAAAAAATACCAATATCCAAGAATGTGTGAGCAACACAGAGGCAACTTAACCAGTCAACCCTTATATCTGCTTTGGAATTAACAAAATATGCTTTTATACCTTAATGTATTTCATTCTCAAAATGGGAAAAAATGTACAATATCACAAGTTAGCCAGAGTTGAAATTAGAATAAATTTATTGCAATCTTTGTGACCATATTTGAGTACCTTTATATGTCAAGTACCTTCCAGAGTCTGAGGTTGCCAGTTCCTTGTTTCCAGTTCTGGGCCTCCCTGCTCTGTGGTTGTCATAGAGATTTTTTCTTCTTGTTCAACTGAGTTGAACAAGTCAGTGCCAATAGTGTCTATTATTACTGTTGTTGTTGTTATTATTACTGTGTATGTGTAATGAAATGAGCAGGGGTGGCACACACATGCCAGGGTGCACATTTGGAGGTCAGGGGATGACTTTGCGAAGTCAGTTCTCTTCTACCTTTATGTGCATTCTGGGGCTCAAACTCAGGTTGTCACATTTGCACAGCAAGTGCTTCACACACAGAGCCATCTCACCAGCCCTCCAGCAGTGTCTTGGAGTAGACAGCTGCTAGGTGATTTGACTTCTGCTGTCTAGAGACTCAGCCAAAGGTGAGCTTCAGTACCACCCTCACGGGGAGACCTGCACAGCCAGCACTGCTCTAGAAAACATGACCTCTAAGAACCATCTCTGTCAGCATGGCCATTTATTCCTACCTGATTAAAGGTCCAGTGTTCATTAAAGAGGCAGGATTCTTCACTCTTGATTCCAATTCTTTCTGCATGTATATGAGTTCAATGGCTAGATTTGAAATTAGGCCTTGAGCAGATTTAGAAAATCAGGTAGCCAAGTTACTGCCTATAGGCAAAAGATGCATATTTTTTTTAGGTAACTAGAGATTAGTTGCACTGAAAATAGAAGCGCCTTCATAGACCTCTGAGTAATGTCAGGAAAGGCCTATTACTGTTTCCCTATAATTTCTACAAGCAGTCCATTGTGAATGTTTCAAACCATTACTAGAGAGCTAGCCACGGGAACCCATACTACAAGTGAAAAAGGAAGATGAGAGACATGGAGTGTTCTAGATAACTGGTAGCTGTATTTTCTCCAGTAATCTGGCCATTATTTCAATTAGAGACTTTCAGATAGATGTTTTTTTTTCCACTAACCACCTTTTCCTACTAATTTAAGATGAATTGAAAAATAACTGAACATGCTGTCTGGCATTGATTGCCCTCACATGAGAGAATTTATGAGGAAGGAACCAAATTTGAGATGTCCTGAAGGTTTGGGTTTTTGTTTTTGTTTTTTTAATGTTACTGTTAACTTCTCTCTACTTCCTGACCACTAATTTGCCAAGTTATGGTGGCCAAACCCTAGCCCATTGTGACCCTGCCTGGAATATTAGTTGACATGTTCTTCTCTTTTCATGTTTCTGTTTAAAGGGCAGAGGAGGGACTGGAGAGATGGCTCATTGGTTAAGAGCACTGACTGCTCTTGTAGAAGACCTGGGTTTGATTTCCAGCAACCGCATGGTAGCTAACAACCAGATGGCTAACAACCATCCATAACTCCAGTTCTAGGGGATCTGACACCCTCTTCTGACCTCTTCAAGCATTGTGCAACATGGATACATTTGCATACATGCAGGAAATATGCTCATACACATAAAATAAGAATAATAAATAAAATAAAAAAATAAAGGGCAGAGGAGAAGTGATGAAAATTACATATATCAAAAAAGAACACAATAAACTGGGCTGTGGCACACACCTTTAAGCCTGACACCCAAAAAGCAGAAGCAGGTGGATCTCTGTGAGATTGACACAAGCCTGGTCTACATAGCGAGTTCCAGGCCAGCTGGGGCTACAGGGAGACCCTTTCTCAACAAAACAATGAAACAAACAAAAATCAAAAGACGAACACACTAGATCTCATTCATTTATTCAGAAACAGACTTTGAGTGCATCCTGTATTCTGCCCATTGTTCTTGTTGATGTGGATAAAATAGTAAATACACAGGTGAAGGGGTCAGAGAAACTTTGTTCAAGGGAAAAGAGAAGCATATCAAGTGGAAAATGATTTGGTATGGGATGAGATGAGCACAAAGAATTTAAATGTGCAGAAAAGGCCTCATTCAGATCTTACATTTGAACTCAAATCTGGATCACAGAAAGTTGCTATCCTTGTGAGGACCTGAGTATATTCCAGACAGGGGAACAGCAGCCTTCAGTTTTGAATGAACTTGGTGTGTACAAGAAAAACAGAATGAAGGCATTATCCTGGAGCTTAAAAACCACAAAAAGAACTGACTTAAGGGACACCATAACTCAGGTCATCAAAGGCTCTGTGGACACTGAAGAGTTTGGATTTCATTCTCAGCATACTGAAGATCACAAGAGGGCTCACACAGAAGAGTTAGGTGACCTGAAATAGTTCCATCTGCCAGCTAGGACAAGTGAGTGAGGGGAGCAAGAATTGAAATGGGGAGACCTTTGGGAAACAGCTCAAGCAAAGAGATGGAAGTGGCTTGGACCAGAGTGTGGTGAAAAGAACTCAGGTCCTCTTGTAAGCAGGAAGTTTTTTGTATTTTCAATGCAGTATTTAGGGTTAATCAGCCTTACATTTGAATTTAAATAAAATAACATTTGAACTGTCATATTCTATGATTTCTAAGGACCATTGTGCATACAGGGTGTGTGTGTGTGTGTGTGTGTGTGTGTGTGTGTGTGTGTGTATATATACGTATGTATGTATGTATGTATATATATGTGTGTATATATACGTATGTATGGGTGGATATGTGCATGTGTACCTATGCATGGGGAGGCAAGAGCTCAGTTTCTGAGGTCTTCTCAGTCATTTTCCACTTTATATATTTAGACAAGGCTAAGTGGCCAATGAACTCCAAGCCAGTGCTGGGGTTTCAGACATGCATTACCATGCCCAGCTTTTTCTTGGATAGTGGGGATCCCAACTCAGGAATTCATGTTTTCATGGTGCTTCTACCCTATGAGCCATCTCCCAGCCCAACAAAGAACATTGTTTTCAATTACTAAAGTTTTTGACAATTAAATGGTGTCTTTAAAACATTTTTTTGGAGATGGGTATCATTCTATAGCTCAGGCTCACCTGGAACTCAATATAGAACACCAGCTGACCTCAAACTTATAGTGAGCCTCCTGCCTCAGCCTCAAGAGTGTTGGAACTACAGATCTGAGCTGTCTTGCTCAGCTAAATCACTTAATATCTTTTTTACTTTATTTCTGTGTTCTATTCTACCTAAATCTGTAGTAAGTATCAGAGGTTTTGTACAAGTTGTTTTATAGTTGCTTACAAAAACATAGCTCCAGGCTGGGCATGGTGGCACATGCCTTTAGTCCCAGTACTTGGGAGGCAGAGGCAAGTGGATCTTTGTGAGTTCAAGGCCAGCATGGTCTACATAGTGAGTTCAGGCCAGCTGGGACTACAGGGAAACCCTATCTCAAAAAGGCAAAAAAATAAATAAATAAATAAACAAAAACATTGCTCCAGAAAAAAAAAACAGCAAAATCTAAAGAAAAATAACCCATGACTTTTTTTTACTTAGAGAAACGTTTTGTTTCCTTTCAGTCTTTCTTCCTATGCACAGTATTCTTATTTCCAAATGGTGATTTTTAAAGTAAGTGAATTTTGCAAAGAACTTTTCAAAAATAAGAAGTCAGTAGTTGAATGGCTTGCTTCATTTGCTTCTTCATAGCATTCTCTAGGTGTTGGATCAATTTCTTATTTTCTTCACTTCAGCTGCTGTGGTCATTAGTTTAAAAGCCATCTTCCCATTAGGTATTTATTATGTAACTCTGATGGGCTTTGATTGCTTTGTTTGTGTCTTGAGTGAGATTTGTAATACTCTTTAAAATGCTCATCGAAGTAAAGTCACAGATTAATCCAATAGTTCACTTTTTTTTTTTTTGGATTTGTTTTCTCAGAAGTATAGCTTGATAAGCTTTGCCAGGATCCATCATTGTAATCTTCAGGTAGTATAAGTGAAATGTAGATTTGTTAATTAATGCTTACGTTGCTTTAAGATCTAATTTATTTCAGTGTGTACCAATATGTTCTGAAGAGTTTAAATACTAGAACTGTATTCTAAACGTTTTTGGAGCTAATTAGATATTATCTATGAAAGTATATTCAGGAAGATCAACATTCATTTTGTAATTTATTGATGTAATTTATTGATATAATGCATACAGGCTAAAATATAGTGATGTGTCTTGGTGATTGTTTTACAGACCTCAAAGGAAGACCTTCTTCAGGCTGATTTTGAAGGTGCTTTGAAGTTCTTCAGAGTTCAGCTTCCAAAGAGATACAGGGCAGAGGAAAATGCAAGAAGATTGATGGAGCAGGCCTGCAATATTAAAGTAAGATCCATGAACTTATATGTGATGAAGATATCATTTGTCTCTGTGGAGTTGTCTCTGTGGTTTCTGAGTGTGTTTTAGGTGATGTTGTGTATGAACTCGTCTCTCTTGGACTTTTTGTCATGCTATAGTATAGATAGTTCTTCTTTTAGTAGGAAGGTAACAAGCACAGATTGTAATAAAAGGGAGACAAACATTTATCTTCTAGGTGGGGCTCTAGAATGGGCTGCTGTGATAGTGGTTTCCATGACAGCAGACTTGGTATTTAGCTTTTGCCATCTGTTTTAAGATTATTTAGGACAAAGCAGGAAAAGCCTGCCAAGCAAAGCTTTTCTTTCCCTAAGGTCCTGGAACAGTTTGAGTCTTGATCGTCCACTGCCATCTCACATCTGCCAGATGCTTGTAAATATATTGGTCTATGTGATAAAACCAGACAAATGTTATTAAATTGAAATTGAGAACTCTTTAAAAAATGAAAATTTACATGAGAGCATACTTCTAAAAGATTTAGAACGGGTTTGTTAATGTTAGTTCTTATTCCTCTGGAATATGCTTACCCGACCATGATATAAATATAAATTTGTTTCTTAGACAAACTTTAAATTTATTTTATTTTATTTATTATTTTTATTTTATGTATATGAGTGTATTGCCTACATATATGTAAGTGGACCTATGTCATGCAGTGTCCACAGAGGTCAGAGAGGGCATCAGATCCCCTGGAACTGGAGTTATGAACTAATGTTAGCTGCCATGTTGGTGCTGGGAATTGAACCTGTGGACCTTAAATTTTTGCAGACAAAAACAGATAATAAACAATTAGCATATTAAACTATTGATATCTTAAAAGATGATAAGTAGAAGTAGAAAAAGTAAAAGGGCAATGGGGAGTTGTGATTATTTCACTAGAGTCAGTGTAGACCTCATTGAGAATGTGAGCCAAACAGTAACTCATGGAAATGTCTAGCAGAGAATTCCAGGCATGGCAACAGCCAGTTCAAAGGTTCTGAGACCACCTCAGGCCATGTGAGTTTAACGAATGGCACGTAGGCCAATAGAATTGGAAAGAAGTAAATGAAATCAGATTAGTAGACATTTGAGCTCCCACCAGGAGCCAGAAGCTGTCAGTTGTTATAAGGATTTAGCCTTTACTTTGAAGGGGGAGCCCTTGCAGGGAAAAGTGATATGATCTGGGGGTTCTTAGAGGATCACATCAGCTATACTATTAAGAATGATTAAGAGATAAGACTGGAGAGATGCTCAGTGGTTAAGAGCACTGACTGCTCTTGCAGAGGACCCAGGTTCAGTTCCTCCCACCCATATGGTGGCTAACAGCCATCTGTAACTCCAGTTCAAGGAAATCCATCGCTCTCATCTGACCTCTATGGGCATTGTACGACACAGGTGCACTTATGTACATGCAGGCAAAACACTCATACACATAAATAAAAATGAAGAAATTTTTAAAAAAATTTTAAAGAGTGGGTACGAGAAGTAGAACAAGAGAACTTGAAGTAATCCCGTGGGTAGATAGTGAGCAACTGAACTGGGAGAAGAAATGGAGGTGAAGGTGATGGAAACCTGAGTGGGGCTTGAAATTTTCATTATGTATTAAATGTAGCCATGAAAGAAAAAGCCACGTTCATTTTAGATGTCGAGCTGAGCAACTAAAGCATAAATGTTTCCATTAATTTAGTGAGCTCATTACTTAAGATACAATTATAGGAGTTTAATAAGTAATTGACATAGAGTTCTTTTAGGTACTATTCCCACTGTAACACTTTTTGTATAACACTTTTGATTTTAAATTCTAACCTATTTTAAAATAAATTATAAATGCCCCAAAGCCCAATTCAATGCTGAAAGTAAATAAATGAATAGGAAAACAAAAATCAAAACAAAACAAAACAAGTCTTTCAAATGAACCTTATATTTTAAAAGCTTATTTTGTAAGTATGTTAAAAAACAAAACAAAACAAAAACCTCTGAGATCTTCATCCTTAAATGCACACTTGTCAAAGCCTTCAAGACCGATTATTTGAGCTGAACCTGGTAGCTTCTAACTATAATGCCAACACTGCAGATATTGAAACAGGGAGATTGATTTGATTCAAGTTCAAAGCCAGCCCAACCTACAGAATGTCTCAAAAAGTAACAAGAGACATGGAGGGAGGAGAGGAGATGAGGGAGAGGGAGAGAGAAGGGGAGAGAAAAAAAGAGGGGGAAGGAGAGGAGACAGAACGACGGGGGCAGGGGCTTGAGGGGGCAGCAATTATTTGACTGAACCCGTATATCTAAGCCCAAACCATATTTGAAAGTGTATTCCAGATGTTGGGGACAACTAACTAAATTTTATAGGAACCTGAAAGTAGATTTCAGCCACCAATTGTCCAGAGATGCCAGAGAAGTAGGATTAACTGGGGCAATGCTGTTGCAACTGCTAAAATAAAACATCCGGTTTCATAATGAAAAGGTAAACTAGGCCTGGTGATACATGCTTTTAATCCCAGCACTCTGGAGGCAGAAGCAAGCAGATTCTGTGACTTCAAAGTCAGGCAGGGCTACATAGTGAAACTCTGTCTGAAACAAAACAAAAAGAAAAAATGAAATAAAAAGGTAGGGAATTATTAGATATATAGGTAAGGTAGAACTATAAGGGTTTTCAAAGGAAATTGAGTAGCACTGGCAAGAGATTGTGAATGGAAAAACTAATTTTTTTTAAATGATTTGTATTTAAGGAGGAAGCATAAAAATTTACATCATGTTAATTAGTAGAGGTGATAAACATTACCATTGAAATCTACCTGATGACTTTATATCCATACTCAGGTGCCAAGGATCCAAGTGTAACCAACTGTGACTAGAAATAATCAGATACATAGAGATTAAAGACACATGTGCAAACATATAAGCATTAGTAGCATTAAAAATGTAGGAAACAGCATATTTTAAAATGAAATGGAGATCTTCTTTAAAATGGAGATCTTTTTGGTTAAAACCTCATTCAATTTTATGTCAAACAGGGCTTATACTGAATTTAATATTATATAACTGTATTGATTCAACTTTGAACCTAAAAATTTTGTAGCCACTTTTGAAAGAGATGTATCTTTGCTCTGGAAATTGTTATTGAGTATGTTGAAGCTGTAATGAAATGCTTCTTCTAAAAAATAAAAAAATAAATTAAAAAATGAAACCTATAGGGGAAGATTTTTCTCCCCAATATAATTTATAAAATTCCTTAGGGGAAGTAGTTAATAGTTGTCAGTCAGAAACATGGGATCTGGGGTCATAGATATAAGCATAAAACATTTGAAGGCAAGTCAAAATATGATCTCAGTAGGGTATTCCTAAAGTATTACCTGAGGCTAGACTGAGTTATGTGATGTGACCAGGTAAATATGTTTTTAGGAAGTTTTAATAATCAGAGTTTTAAAATAATTTAAACATGGGACTGGAGAGATGGCTTAGTGGTTAAGAACACTACTTGTAGAGGGCCAGGTTTCCCAGCACTCACATGGCAGTTAACAACCATCAGTAAACTCTAGTTCCATGGCATTGGACTCCCTCTCCTGGCCTCCCTGGTGGGCACTTCATGCACTTGGTACACCTATATTCATGTAGGCAAAACATTCATATACATAAAATAAAAATAAATAATTTTTTAAGTGGAAAACAACAATTTAACAGTGCTTCAGTAGAATTTTTCAGATTCTTTTTTGAATGACTTGTGGCCTTTTCTTAACTATTTAGAGTAGCACTGACAGGACATCATTATAATTTGTTGCATGATTGTGGAGTTGTTGATTAGGAGGTAGAGGTGAAGTGAAAATGAAAGAAGTAGCTCTGACCCTATTTAGTTTATATTTTATTAGTAAATAATTTTAACAAAATTTCAGCTGCAAAGGACAGCTGGGCATGGCGACACATGGATTAACTGTAACACTCAGGAGGCTGAGGCAGAAGGATTCCCACAAGTTTTGAGGCCAGCTTTAGCTATAGTGACATCTTGTCTCAAAAAATAAGTAAATAAATAAATAATAAAATGCAAAAAGTGTTATTAACCTAAAAACATTAACCTTAGAGGAAGAAGATGAGTTATTGGGTCCTATTTTGCACCAGGAACTATACCAAAAACCCTGAGGAAATAGGGATTAAAATGAGGCCTGGAGGATTAAAGGAGTGGAACCAGGCAGAATTCAAAAGGAAAGGTTGATGCATTGACATTAAAAAAAAAAAAAAAAAAAACAAGCTGAGGAATGGAAACTGATGAAGTAAGAAGGCAGCAAATACTTGGAAGTGTGTGGCGTGTGAATATTAAGGGAAAGGGCATTTGTTTCAGAACCCCATAGGTGAGAAAATGTGTAGTTATCCAAGACTTAATAGTAGGTCATGATCAGAGATTAAGGTGGGAGAAGGGCCAGTGTATGGGGATGAGGGTATTCAAAAACTGGCACTGTAAGCAGGAGCCATAGGAAGCAATCTGGATTTTACCTTGAGGGTACTGGTAAGCATTGAGAGGTTTTGAAAAGGAGACAGAAATGACCAGGTTTATGTTTTAGAAATATCATTCTAGCCACTGTGTTGAGACTGAATTGAAAGATGTTATACTGGATGTTGGTGATAGAACTTTTCAGGTACTGTTGCAGTAGTCAAATGAGGAATAACCACATTGTTATGGGCTGGAGAGAGATAGAAAGAGATAGAATCAGCAGATCTCAGTGATTAAATGACCACTGCAGCAGAGGAAGAGAGCCAGTAATGATATTCAGCATTCCTACATAGAGAACTTCATAATAATCACGCTGAGAAAGGAAACAAAAGAGAACAAATTACATAGGTAGATGATGATAAGTTAAGGATGTCTTAAGATTGTGGTTCATATCCACAAACTAATATCCAAGTAAACTGCAAAGTCCAGTAGCCAGGTGGGTATTGAAATAAGAGCTGAGCTAAAAGCAGATATTTGATTAATCAACTGTTTAAAAAATCAAAGGCAT